GAAGGATATTAAAAAATCATAGAAGGGACTAGGAAGGTGGCTCAGTGGTAGAGCACTTGCCTTGCATGCCTGAGGCCCTGGGTTCGATTCCCCAGCACCACATAAGCAAAAAGAAAAAAAAAGCTGGAAGTGGCTCTGTGGCTCAAGTGGTAGAGCGCTAGCCTTGACCTGAAGAGCTGAGGAACAGCGCCCAGGCCCAGAGTTCAAGCCCCACAACTGACCAAAAAAAAAAAAAAAAATCACAGAAAACTCAGGGTGCTAGGGCTGGGAAGATGGCTCAGTGGTAGAGCGCTTGCCTTGCATGCCTGAGGCCCTGGGTTCGATTCCTCAGCACCACATAAGCAAAAAGAAAAAAACTGGAAGTGGCGCTGTGACTCAAGTGGTAGAGCGCTAGCCTTGAGCTGAAGAGCTGAGGGACAGCGCCCAGGCCCAGAGTTCAGGCCCCACGACCGGACTCCCCCCCCCCAAAAAAAAACTCAGGGTGCCAGTCTCTCTACTTTGTATCACTGGTGGGAGTGACAGGAGGTCATGTTTGAGGCACCTGTGCAGAAAATGAGATGCCTGCAGGCTGTGCTGTAATCCTAGCTACCCAAGAGACTGAGACCTGAGGATTGCAGTTAGAAGCCAGCCTGGGCAGAAAAGTCCACGATGTTTTATCTCCAATTAATCAGCAAAAAGCTGGAAGTGGAGGTGTGACTCAAGGGGACACGGACACACACACACGGCTATGCCCCTTCAGCAAGCAGGGGCTGCAGGCAGAAGGCAGGTGTGGAAGGCCACCTGGAAGGCCTGTGCAGGGGGGTGCAGAGCCCCGGGTGGGCGCTGTGCTCTTGTTCTGACTCGCACTGCCCATAGGCTTCCTGGCCCTCCTTGGCTGGGCCTGAAGCACTCACCTTTCCTCCTGAGGTGGAAGTGGCATCCCTCCGAGCCCAGGACTCTGCTCAGGCCCTGGTGCTTGCCCCACAGGCTGAGGGGCACCGTGGAGAAGGGAGTGGCCCAGCAACACCTGAAGGGTGGCCCTGAGGCAGCTCCAGGCGGGAAGGCGTCTGGCCCAGCGCTCAGCGCTCGGGGGAAACAGAAACCGGGCAGTTTAAGTGAACTCACACAGGTGGGAAGACTGGATGCAGGTCCTGGTGGGGGGAGGGCGCGGCGCTGGTGTGGACGCCTCGGGGGAGGGGAGGTGACAGTGGCTGGGCTCACCCCTCTTTCTGTGTCCAGTGGTGAGAAGGAACAAATGTAGGGAGCCATTTGTTGGCGAAGCTGCCCCAGGCCCTGTCCTGAGGCTTTGTTCGCTGACCGCGTCCAGGCCTGGGCCGTGGGCATGGGCATTTGGGCATTTGCACAGCTGAGCAGAAACCAGGTGATTTTTGTTACTTGTTTTGTCAGGGAGGAGAAAAATCACAGCCGAGACTAGAGATGGGGTTGGGTGACTTCTCAGGTCCTGAGCTAGCGGTGTGGAAAGCTGAACTTTCTGTGAGTCTTGGGGACCTGGTTTTCTCCCAGAAATCCCTGCAGAGAGGAGCTGGAGAGGCCCCAGAGCTGACAAGGAGAGCTCCACCGCTTTTGCCAAGCTAGGCGGTGTTTAGTGCGAGAGAATGGAGTCCAGATAGAGAAAAGGGTGGACACAGGGAAATGAGGTTATTTACATAAATATAACAAGGGTTAGACTTACAAGTGGAAAGCTTGCAAGCAACTAGCAGAGCAATTAAGCTTCCCTCCACTTAAATGTTACAAGGCCTACAGACCAGAAGTCTAGCTGTCCTTTGAAATGGTAAAAACCTGGCAGCTCTCCATGCAGAGTGCACACAGCTGAGGGACTTAATCTGAGGAAACAGCACAGCAGCTCCCTAAGGTCCCTGTTTTGGGTAGGTCTGGAAACATCACATTTCATTGTTTTGGTTGGTCTTAAGTCTGGAACTCTGGGTCTGGGCGTTGTCCCTCAGCTCTTCAGCTCAAGGCAGGTACTCTACCACTTGAGCCACAGTGCTACTTCCTGTTTTCTGGTGGTTCATTGAAGAGTTTCACAGACTTTCCTGCCCAGGCCGGCTTTGAACCACAATCCTCAGATTTCAGCTTCCTAAGTAGCTAGGATGACAGGCCTGAGCCGCCAATGCCTGGCTTGTTGCCCTATTTTAGAGTAGTTAACACCCAGCCCTACCCAGAACTGTTGTGTATGGGTTGAGGGCCACTAGATGTGATCACCCCTAGCTCAGAAAGAATAAAGGCAGCAGGTTGAAGAACTGCCATTTTGAGTCTTTTAACTCCCACTTTCTGCCTGGGGATCAGGAAATGTTTTTCTCCCTCTGTTAACTTTGGGATACTAAACCCTTGCTGAAACTTTCCCTGGTCACTCTCCCTTCTGCCAGACACCTGACCTGATCGTCATGCCTGGATCTCAAGGACCTGTGATGGTGGACGGTGGGAAGCGGAATACTGTCCACTTACTCCTCCCATGTCTCCTCCCCTGGGCTTTGCACTGATTGCTTAGTGGCTTATGCGTGAGCTGCTCCGGCTCTTTCCATTGGCTGAGTAGAACGCCCAGGGCATTATGGGAAGCATTTGAGGGGGAAGAAGCAATGCTGTGATGGCCACGTTATGTCTGCCATTTTTTATCCCTATCTAAAAGGTCTCTCCTTCCCCTTGGCAATCTCTCATCCACTCTACACCTCAGAACCTGCTGAGGGATGCTAGGAGCCTTGAAGGCCATTATGTGAAAATTGAGTTTTGCAGCCTGTACTGTATTTATGCAAATACAACAACTGAGTAAAATTCTTCCTGAGTATTCCTAACCAAGTCCCCCAGGGTACTATTAGCAAAGCAAAATGCCCTTCAGGGGGCAAATTCTTGAGAAGTCTGTGGCCAGGGCTGAAAGCTCATTTCCACTGCCTCTGCTCCCGTCCCATCCCACAAAGACTGCTTTCCCACCAGACGGTTTGCCAGGGGCTCCAGGCCTCCACCAGCTCCACAGCAGTCGCAGTCCCTGCTCTCTGTGGTGACAGCCGGTGTTGCCTGCAGACGGTATCTTCTGGCTGGAAGAGGTCTGTGGTTTGGATGTTTAGTAAAATGCTGTAAGAAACTTTATTCAGTAAAATTTGTATCAGGTCCCTTTCTTTGATATTAGAATGCAAAATAGTGTCTCCCATTTCTGGAGCACGTTTGGCGGTACTGGGATGTGAACTTCAGCCTCCTGCTTGCTAGGCAGATGCTGTACTATTGGGCCATGTCCCTGCTTCTTTTTACATCAGTGGTATTTGCTAGAGATCCTCCTACCTCTGCCTCCCACGAAGATGGGACAACACCACGCACTGTTCGTTGGGGTGGGCGGGCCTTGAACCAGGATGCTCCTGCCACTGCCTCTCAGCTATGATCTGGAAAATTTAAATAGGTTCCAATTTAACCAGAGACAGTTAAGGAAAGGTGTTTTTGTTGACTTTATTCTTGCTAAACAAGCACTTTATTGCTTCAGATACATCCCCAGCCCCTTGGAAGCTTTTTCTGATAGTGGGGGCAAAGGTGCTGAGAATTTAGTGTGTGTGTGTGCAAGTGCTGGTTACTGGGGCGTGAATTCAGGACCTGGATGCCATCCATTAGCTCTTTTGCTCCAGGATAGCACTCTACCAATGGAGCTACAATTCAACTTCCAGCTTTTTGGTAGTTAATTGGAATGAAGAGTCTTACAGACTTTCCTGCCTAGGCTAGCTTCAAACCATGATCCTTAGATCCTAGCCTTCTGAGTAGCTAGGATAACAAGCATGCACCACCAGCAGCTGTCTTCATTGTGTTTTTTTTTTTTTTTTGGGGAGAATCTAAGTCCAGGCAGTGATTTGATGTATACATGCGGAAACACGGCATTTTAAAGAACTTCTTTAACAAGCTGGTAGGTAGCAGGATTCATTTTAATTTTCAATCTGAAAAAAATCCAAAAAAAAAAAAATCCCCCCCCAAACAACAAAACCCCAAACTCTTCTCATATATATGTGTGTATACATACATATGTATGTATATATACACATATACATACACACATACATATACATATATATAGATATATACAGTGTCCACATTTTCAGAGCACTTACATTAGGAAACATCATTTTGCTTCAAATGTGACAATACTGTGTGTGCCACAGTAAAATGTACAGACAATCTCAGCAGTCATACAGACATCATGATTTTACAGTTCAATACACAAGAAAAAAAAACCCAATTCTCTTCCTGGCCCTTCGTTCCCCGGCCCCGCTTCCTTCCTGCTCGGCGGTGGCTGTTTTGCAGGTCAAATCTTCTCCAGGTACAAATGTCAATAATAACAAGTTTGCCATTTTAAAGCCACCAAGACTTTATTATTAATGGATATGGGGAAGTTTACCCAAAAGGTGTAAAAAAAAATGTCATGAATGTAAAAAATAAAGCTGTTGGAAAGTCAGCTTTGTTCACTAGGAAGCTCATTTTCAATGTGTCACTGCAGGTTTTTTTTGTTTTTATGTGTTGTTTTTGTTTTTTGGTGCCGGTACTGGGGCTTGAACTCAGGGCCTGGGAATTGTCCCTTAGCTATTTTGCTCAAGGCTGGTACTTTACCATTTGAGGCACAGCTCTAACTCTGGCTTTTTGATGGTTCACTGGAGATGAGTGTCTTGGACTTTTCCTGCCTGGGCTAGCTTCAAACTGATTCCCCTACCTCAGCTTCCTAAGGGGCTGGGATTCCAGGCCTGGGCCCCAGGTACCCACAGCTCACTGAAAAAGGGACTGCTTCTATGCAAATGGCAACTGGTTGACCAGTGTAATGAGAACAAGCTGGCTTGGCGAGGGTCGAGGCTGTCCACACTGGAGCTCGCGGGGACTGGAGGTGCGCGCTGGGGCGTGTGGCGGGCGCGGCGGCGGCAGGCTGGCATATTGCTGTGTCCCGACATAAGGCACTGTGATGTGAACATGCCGTGCGCTCACCGTATGCCCATCACCTGCTCCATGCCAGGGGGTTCTTTGAAATGAAAAATAATAAAAAATTCAGGACACAGTGCGCTTTAATGACATACAGCATTTAAAATCCTTCAGACGAAGGTCTGAAAACTGTCTTTTAATGCAGGCCTGAAAGCTGCAAGCACACAAAATCGTTCTTTTTTAAGCTGACATCACTGGAGAAAAAAATACCCATCACTAACCCCTGCTAATACATTCTTAGCCACTTTATTCTCTTCTATTGCAGCCAGTGTTCATGAGGCAAAACGTGACCCAGAAAAAGTGTGTTCAAGTTCTCCTAGGAGGGCGGACGCGCACGGTTCTCATTCCGTCTCCGGCTCCTTCTGTTTGGCACCTGGAGGCACATGGGAAATCAGGGTTCAAGGCTCATTCGAACGGCAGAGAGCTCCACTCCAGTGCTTTCTTCCGAACCGGCAGGGGGCTTGGGAGGATGGCCAGAAAGCTGTGGAAGAGGCGGCTCCACGCCTCACCCCCTCTTACACAACCCACCCTGTCCACACTCCACGCCTCACCTCCTCCCACACTACCCACCCTGTCCACACTCCACGCCTCACCCCCTCTTACACTACCCACCCTGTCCACACTCCACGCCTCACCCCCTCTTACACGACCCACCCTGTCCACACTCCACGCCTCACCTCCTCCCACACTACCCACCCTGTCCACACTCCACGCCTCACCTCCTCTTACAATACCCACACTGTCCACACTCCACGCCTCACCTCCTCCCACACTACCCACACTGTCCACACTCCACGCCTCACCTCCTCCCACACTACCCACCCTGTCCACACTCCACGCCTCACCTCCTCCCACACTACCCACACTGTCCACACTCCACGCCTCACCTCCTCTTACAATACCCACACTGTCCACACTCCACGCCTCACCTCCTCTTACACTCCACGCCTCACCTCCTCTTACACTCCACGCCTCACCTCCTCCCACACTACCCACACTGTCCACACTCCACACCTCACCCTCCCACACTACCCCCTGTCCACACTCCACACCTCACCTCCTCTTTTTTTTTTTTTTTTTTTGGTCGGTCATGGGGCTTGAACTCTGGGCCTGGGCGCTGTCCCTCAGCTCTTTAGCTCAAGGCGAGCGCTCTACCACTTGAGCCACAGCGCCACTTCCAGTTTTCTGGTGGTTTATTGGAGATAGGAGTCTCACGGTCTCTCCTGCCCGGGCTGGCTTTGAACCGCGATCCTCAGATCTCAGCCTCCTGAGTAGCTAGGATTACAGGCGTGAGCCACCAGCGCCCGGCACCTCACCTCCTCTTACGCCACCTCCCTGTCCATACTCTACGCCTCCCCTCCTCCCACACTACCCACACTCCATGCCTCCTCTCCTCCCACACTACCCGCCTCACCTCCTCTTACACTACCTCGCTGTCCACACTCCACGCCTCACCTCCTCCCACACTACCCCCAGTCCACACTCCACGCCTCACCTCCTCCCACACTATCCCTTCTGTCCACGTTACCTGGAATTCTAAATTTGTGGGTATGGAATCTGATGCCTGGAATTCTAGCTATTGGGAGGCTAAGATCTGGAGGATCGTGGTTCAAGAGCAACCCAGGGAAAGTTTATGAGACCCTTTCTCAACTAATAGCTGGGCCCAGTGCTGTGTGCCGGTCAGCCCGGCGATGCGGAGGCTGTGGTCTGAGGCCAGCACTGGTCAAAATTCCTCCAGATTCCATCTCAGCACCTGTCATCCCAGAAGAAGAGTGAAATAGGAAGATTGAGGCTGTTTTTAAAAACAACTACTACAAGAAAGGACTGAAGGGATGGCTTAGCAGTAGCGTACCTGCCTGGCAAGCACAAAGCCTTGAGTTCAAATCCTAGTACTGAAAATAAATAAAACACAACACATACTGAAAAAGCCCCCGAGTGTGTTTGCTCCAGTGAAGGCCGCGGTCCCGGGCCTGTGCATGCTTCCAGCACGAGCGGTCTGAGGACGGCGCTTGCCGTGTGAGCAAGCAGAGCCAGGGTGTTTTCTGCCCAGGCTGGCGGGGAAGGCCTCCCCCACAGCAGCTCCCTGCTCTCTCACCAGACACTAGTGTGTGCGCGCCAGTGCTGGAGCTTGAACTCAGGGCCCTGAGTTCTTACTTGCTCTTTTCACTCACGGCTGGTGCTCTACCACTTGAATCCATCCCACTTATATTGGAGGCTGGCTAATTGGACAGGACAATCTCTAGGATTTGTCCGCTTGGGCTGCCCTTGAACCTCTAGCCTCTGATCTAGGCCTCCCAAACGAGGATTATAGGCGTGAGCTGCAGCCCAAGTGCACGCTACACTTCCCTAGTTGACCTCACCTCACTCACATCCTGACGGCTCGCATTGCAGTGGCTAAGTGGGACTTAGACCAACATGGCCTCCCACGGGCCACATGTGCAGCCGGTGTACCCTCCAGTAAGAGTACAGACACCCTCTCTTTCAGGGAGGGTTTCTATGGTAACATACATCCCAAATTCCAGCTGTGAAGCTAACTGCTTCACTGTGCTAACAGAGGTGGGAGGTGTAAGAAAGACTTATAACTTTTTTGTGTGTGCTGGTACTAGGGCTTTGAACTCAAGACCTTGTACTGTATGTGTGTGTGTTGGCCTGGGGCTTGAACTCAGGGCCTGGGCACTGTCCCCAAGCTTTTGTGCTCAAGGCTGGTGTTCTACTATTTAAGCTCTACTTCCAGCTTATTTTGGTGTCTAAATGGAGATCAGTTTCATGGACTTTCCTGGCCAGGCTGCTTTGAACTGCGGTGCTTAGATCTCAGCCCTTAGTAGCTAGGATTATAGGCATGAACCACCAGTGCCAGTCTGACTTACAACTTTTGAAATAACAAGTCTAGATGGAAATCCTTCTCCCCTGCCGGTGGGGACCGGTGGTGGGATGGCGGAGTTTGTTATGCTCAGAGTCTTGGCAAAGGGATGATGAAAGCTGCCATTAAGGCAAACTCTGCTGGGCTGTGCACCCTGGCGTGGGGCAGGCTGGGAGGGAGGACCCTGTCCTGCGTGTCTAGCTGTCTACCTGTGCGGTGAGGTGGTCTTCATCTGCATGAGGGTGCCACACTTAGCTAGTGTGGAGATTTACACAGGATCATGCAGCATGCATTAGCGTGACTTTCAGTGCTGCTTGTAAGACCCTATAAAGTCGAAGGTGACTCTGTTCACTTTTGGTGATGTATAATAATCCACAGAAGGAATGTAAACCAATTTACCTTTCCTTTTTCAGAGAGATACTTGGGTTGCTTTCAAGTTTTAGGTACTGCAGATAGTTCAGTGAACAACCTCACCTTCACTTCTATTACCGATGGCTTTTGACCTATGACCAGGAAGCACTGTGAGCTTCAAGCTCGCTTTCAATGCAAGCCTGCAAAGGCCAGCCAGGACCAATTGGATGTGGCAGTGATTTCTGACTCAGTAACTGTGGCGTGGTCCCACACGGATGCCTCCAACTAGTTCCAGGGGATGTGGAGGCTGCTGCCCACCTGTGATAACCACTCGTGGATCACAGCTCTGCTGGGCGCCCCCTCCAAACTGCAGATAGGACCTGGGCAGACACAGGGGGCTGCTTTGGAATGGGGATGTTCAGGTTGTAGAATACTCATAAGAGCAGTTTTATCTGGGTTTGACTTTTGAACTAAAGACAAATCAATACAGCAGCAACTGCACCACTGAAGAGTTCAAAGCACAGGGCCCTCACGTCCGGGCCTTGTTCGGGGGCCCACACAGGCCGGCTGGTTTCCTGGTGCTCGGCCAGGTGACAGAGGGATAGGAAGAATAAGGCAGGAGGAAGGGAGCCCCAGTGGTTTGAAGACCCCATCTGCCATCGAAGTATGTGGCACCTGAGGCATTAGCCCTTCTGTCTATCGCTGTAGCTGGCAGCTCACCCCTGTAATCCTGACCACTCAGGAGGCTGACATGGTTTGAAGCCAATTTGAGCAGGAGCAAAGTCTGTAAGACTCATCTCCGATTAACCACCAAAAAGCTGCAAATGGAGCTGCGGCTCAACTGGTAGAGATGTAAACTTAAGTTAAAAAAGCCAAGGGAGAGAGTGAGGCCCCGAGTTCAAACCCTGGACTGGCATAAAGCCCTCTCCTTGGCTCTGAATATTTTCTACTGACTTTTATCACCCAAGTAGAACATTTCAACTTGTGAAGCCGGGCGCTGGTGCTCATGCTTGTCATCTTAGCTACTGAGGAGGCTGAGATCTAAAGCCTGCCTGGACAATCTGTGAGGCTTTTTTTTTTTTTTTGGCCAGTTCTGGGGCTTGAACTCAGGGCCTGGGCACTGTCACTGAACTTCTTTTTACTCAAGGCCAGCACTCTACCACTTGAACCATAGTGCTACTTCTGGCTTTTTCTGTGTATGTGGTACTAAGGAAAGAACCCAGGGCTTCATGCATGCTGGGGAAGCAGTCTACCACTGAGCCACCTTCCCAGCCCTGTGAGACTACTTTAAAAATCCAGAAGTAGAGCTGTGGAGTGGTAGAGCGCCCAGGCCCTGAGCTGAAGCCCCAGGAGAGGTACAGAACAAACACAAAAAGAGCCCCAACCAAACAAAAACACCAAGTAGAACATTTCAAGTTTGAAACTGCGAAGGAAAGAGGTTCACAAAGCAGCGTGTGCGCCGCCTCACAGTGGAGGAGAGTGGGGCAGACTCCAGGGCTGCACTCAGGGGCCTGTCTGCCTGCCTGCCTGCCTGCCTGCCTGCCACTCTTCCTAGAGCCCCAGCGTTGGGAAATTGGCATGGTTACCTGCTGGCGTGAGGATCAGAGCCTGCAGAATGTCAGACAGGGAGATAATCCCCACAATGCTGTCTGCTTCATTTACCACCACCAGCCGATGCACCTGCACAGAGGAGAAAAGCAGGTCCTGTGTCAGAATTCATGTACAGCACTACAAAAATGTCGCTTGTGCTAATATAGTAGCTACGTCCCACTGTGCACAGAAAGGCTTTGCCTCTAACCTGAAAATGTAAAGCTGTTTTGCTTTGACCACTCTTAGAAAAACGAGCTAGCTATGTCTTGCTGAGTTTTCAAATTTCAGAATATCTACATGTGAAAGACAAAACTCAGAACAGGTTAGCTTAGCACAGGGCTGTAATTCCAGCTATCTGGGAGATTGAGGTCAGGAAGATTGGGGTTCAAGGTCAGCCCAGACGAAAAAGTTTCTCAGACCTTCCTTCCTTTCCCCCTACTCCCCCCACCAATAGCTTGGCACAGTCATAGCCTGTCATCCTAGCTACATGAAAGGCCGGGGTCAGGAGTGTGATGCCAGGCCAGTCTTGGCAGAAAAGCCCTGAAGAAGCAGGGTGCCAGTGGTTCACACCTGTCATCCTAGCTACTTAGGAGACTGAGATCTGAGGATTGTGGTTCAAAGCCAGCCTGGGCAGGAAAGTCCAGGAGACTCATCTCCAATTAATCACCAGAAAACCAGAAGTGGCGCTGTGGCTCAAGTGGCAGAGCACTCACCTTAGGCTGAAGAGCTGAGGGACAGCGCCCAGGCCCAGAGTTCAAGCCCCACAATCAACACCCCCCCCCCCCCAAAAAAAAAAGTTCTCAAGACTCTTTCTTAACTGAAGGTGCTAGGAAGCTTTGAAAACTAGGAGGATCACGGTGTACCTGGGCAGGAAGTGAGACCTATCTCAAAAGTAACCAGGCAGTCCAGGCACTGTAATCCCACTACCTAGGAGGCTGAGATCTGAGGATCATGGTTTGAAGCCAGCCCAGAGAGAAAAATCTGTGATTCTAATCTTCAGCTAATCAGCAAAAAAGGCAGAAGTGAAGGTATGGCTCAAGTGGTAGAATGCCAGCCTGAGCAAAAAAGCCAAGTGACAGCACAAGGCCCTGACCTGCACACAGACGGCTCTTGATACAGTATCTGATTCATGCTGAACTGTCAGAAAGCAGGTTATGGTTGCCTGTCAGAGGCCAAACCCAATCAGGTTCTTCGCTCCTTGGTCTGTAGTTCTGCATTTGTATCAGCAAAGCACCATTATGGATTTAGGCTGTCTATCACAGTGGGTTGTTCTGGAAAGTACAGAATAGCACCTTCCGTTCTTCTGTCCTCAAGAATAGTACTTGGTTGGATGGAGGGAGGGGGAGGGGCGAGGGAGGGGGGAATAGCATGGAAGAATGGTAAATACAACAGACGAGAGAGATGGGGGGATGGGAAGAGGGAGAGAGAGAGAGAGAAAGGAAAGACTGTGGCTCAAGGCCAGTCTGGGCACAAAAAGTCTTGAAAATCTGGTAGTATGGTTCAAATGGAGAGTGCCAGCCTAATAAGCACGAGGCCCTGAGTTCAAATCTCAGTACCACTAACAAACAAAAAAACCCCTCCCAAGCTGTTGGAGGTGTAGTTCAAGTGTAGAGCACTTGTGTAATGCGGTGAGACCCTGGGTTTAACCTGTAGTACTGGAGAGAACAAAAGGGGCCGGCGTGTGTGAGGCGAGACTGGTGCACGAATTCCATAGGCTCCACAATGACCCCCTATTTCCTACAGGGAGTTGTGCAAAGCGAACCTGAAAACCCCAGGAGCAGCAGAGATAGGCCGGAGCCCAGAGGAGCAGCGCCCCCCCCTCGTCCACCACCCATCTCCACTGGAAGAGATTGACTGACGGTGAGAAAATAGGACTGGTTTTACTGCTCGATTGCTCATTCTGTTAAGACAGTATGCCTTTTCACTGAGTTCCCAGACACTTGCGGAACTTAAAATAGTTCTTGGGGCAATGTTTTCTCATGAATATGTTTTGCAAACTGTGAACATACCTTACCTGTATTTTCAATTCAACCAAGGGATCAGGACTCAGTTCAGCCCAATGTGATCTCACTCCACAACCCCGGCAAAGGACCACACGCCCCTGAGCCTCTCCTGTGGTTCAGACTCCAAGGTGCCCGCTGTCCTCTGGGGCCCTTGGGGCCGTGTGGCGTGGGCTGGGAGGGTGGGCAGGGCCGGCGCCTGGGGGCTCACCTCAGCTCTGACTATCCTGTCCACGATGGTCTCCAGTGTCTCCAGCTTACTGCACTTCACAACCCCTTCAAAGTACTGCGATCGGTGCAGCAGCGCCTGAGTCACGGTCACATCTAGGTTATTGTACGTTTTCTCAGCAGCGAGGTTCTGGAACAGGGATACAGAATACCTCACACCCTTCGCGATAACCAGTGTGCAGGACACAATTCGATTGTTAAAAAAAACTTTAATGTCATGCTGGGCGCTGGTAGCTCATGCCTATTAATCCTTGCTACTCAGAAGAGTGAGATCTGAGGATCGAGGTTTAAAAAGCCAGCCTAGGCAGCAAAGTCTGTGAGACTCTTATTTCCAATAAACCACCAGAAAACCAGAAGTGGCGCTGTGGCTCAAGTGGTAGAGCACTCATCTTGATCTGAAGAGCTCAGGGAGGACAGTGCCCAGGCCCAGAGTTCAAGCCCCACAACGACAAAAACAAAACAAAAACTTTAATGTCTAATTTGGGCCCCAGTGTACTCTTTCTAGCTTGCATTAGGCCACCTGTAAGGTTATTCATCAATTGCCATTCATGATTTCCCACTGGACGTATACCTTAATTATGAAGCCATGACGGCAAGTTTTGAAAGCCCATCCTGCCTACCAGAATTTTTTCCATTCATTTGAACTGAGAGTGACTGAGAGAATTTCCGTGTGGATGGGAGCAGGGGCAGTTCCTGCTGGGGGAGGGGGGCCATGACCCCCGCAGCCCCCCCAACCCCCAACATCAATGACGAACAGGGCTGGGAAGGCCCCTGCGTGAGCGGTCTTGGGTTCTGGTTCATTTGCACGGCTCCCCTTCAACCACGAGTTTAATGAACATTATTTCTTTGGTAGTGTTGCTTATATTAAGAGTCAAGACAGCTACCTAAATTATCTAATAATGCATCCCTTCCCTTTCTCAGAAAGCAGTGTAAAACTATGTTTTTGGATGACTGAGGGAATGTATCCTAGGAAAAGATGTAGTGGCAATGCTGAATCTAGTAGCTTTAAGTCAGGGATTCATATATGAGGCTCATCTTCAACTCGACTGAATTTGTAACGCCCTGTGTGTGCCCATCTGCTGGGGCCTTCAGCAGCAAGAGTTGCATCTGAGGGCTGGGAAGGTGGCTCAGTGGTAGAGCACTTGCCTTGCATGCCTGAGGCCCTGGGTTCGATTCCTCAGCACCACATAAGCAAAAAAAAAAAAAAAAGCCAGAAGTGGCGCTGTGGCTCAAGTGGTAGAGCACTAGCCTTGAGCTGAAGAGCTGAGGGACAGTGCCCAGGCCCAGAGTTCAGGCCCCACGACTGGACCAAAAAATAAATAAATAAAAAGAGTTGCATCTGACAAAGGGCCATGGCTGCCATGGAGACAGGGCCCTTTTTCTTTTTCTTTTTTGGTCTGGTCATGGGGCCTGAACTCTGGGCCTGGGCGCTGTCCCTCAGCTCTTCAGCTCAAGGCTAGCGCTCTACCACTGGAGCCACAGCGCCACTTCCGGCTTTTTTTCTGTTTATGTGGTGCTGAGGAATCGAACCCAGGGCCTCATGCTTGCAAGGCATGCAACTCTACTGCTGAGCCACCTTCCCAGCCCAACAGGGCCCTTTAAGACTTGTGCAAAGGTGGGACTTGTGGGGCGGGACAATACACTAGAATACTAGTGTACAATGTAATTCATTGCTCAACACATGACTATGAATAGGATGAATGCTCTAAGACTTCATAGAGAAGGCAGCAATTAGTAAACAAGAACACACACAAATGAACAGGTTGTGAAATGCATTCTGAAGTTAAAGTTAAAAAAAATTAAAAGTACTTACAATTACATCAAATTTGGAATAAATATCTACAACTTTTCCTAAAAATGAAAAGATATGTTAGAACAACATTTTAGGATGGAAAAAAAGAAACTCTTAAAATCAGTCTTAAGTAGATAACTACTGGGGATTCAACAGTAATAAAGAATTAAATGAACTTGTCTATGTGGAAATGGACATGGACTGGGATCTCAGGGGAAGATGCAGGAAGAGGTTTTCACGCAAGTGTGCTCTGGGTCTGGGCATATGCATGTGCGTGCGTGGCATCTCCCCCGATTCATGGGCTTGGCTGCTGCTCAATTCACAGCCAGCTGCTTGGAGGGGAGGGGAGGGGAGGGGAGGGGAGGGGAGCGGAGCGGAGCGTACACACACCTGACTCATCCACCACGGGCAAGGCCGATATCCGTCTCTCCACAAAGATGTTCAAGGCCTTGATGATGGGCGTGTCCGGGTGGATGAAGGCGATGTTGTGGTACGTGCCTATGCCAAGCTCGTCCAGGTTCTGCTTCATGAAGGAGGGCTTTGGCATGTCAGACATCTAAGCAGGAAGAGAAGCACACGGCTCACCCTCAGCAAACCCTTTGATGGCTCAAAGGTCCAGAGTGCAGCAAAAACCCCAAACCCCTATGTCCGACCAATGATCAGAGCATGTCTCATACACAGAGAAAGTGACTCCACTTATTCAGCTGGATCGCACGTCCATGCGAGTCCTTTCCCAGTAAGCTACTTGGGCGTTAACAGTGCAGCTGCCTTTATCTCCCTTACTGAAATGGCCGGGGAGAGAAACACTGGGTCTGTTTGGGTGAATTAAACTCCTTATTCTTAATCATTCACCCAAGATTGGACTTGCTACCAAGTGACCTTAAGAAGAGCCACATGACCCCAAATCTGACTGATGCACCTGACTGAGTGGGCCCTGGCCCGGCCTCCAGCAGCTTGTATGAATTCCACCCACCGCCACACCCCATTCTCCTTAGAGACTCCCAGCGCTGTCTCTGAGGAGCAAGGAACAAGGCTGCTGGACAGAAGGAAAAGAACCTTCTCACACTCCCTGTCACCCATTGCTCTAGCAGAGGAGGCTAGTGGAGGGTTCCACGTGCTTGGCTATAACATAATGAACTACAGTTTCAAAGATCCACCTCATTTTATAAGGGGCACAGGTGATTCCATCCTCCTGGTGTACCTTATAATTATCAGGAAAAGATGAACAGTTAGGAGAAACAAAACGTTCAAGTCAAAGAGTTCATCAATATTCAAATCATGAGAATCCTAGAAATTTAGAGAAAAAAAAAAAAGAAAAGAGCCCTATTAGGTCGTCCAGTCCACTCCCACCCGGGACAGCCCTGCTCCGCGCGCCGCACCGCCTTTGCTCGCTCTCCGAGGGCAAAGCGAGCGGCCGCACAGTGCAGTGAAGAGCAGGCCCTGGAGTTCCTTTATTTAAATCTGGGATTTTTATCTGAGAATGTCTAGCTGAATATTCTAGTAGCATGACTCTCACCACCACACTGGCCCACATATCAGGCAGTACTGGGCAGCGGCAGGCTCGGTCTTTTTATAGACAGGAGGCAGCTCAGGATGACGCCACTCTTCATGGCCCAGATGGGGGGGCTGCTGTGGCAGAGGCCAGCAGAGATGGGGTCTGGGCTTGGGAGTCAGAGATGCCAGGACCAGGCACCCTACCGCCTGCACAGGGCTGCTCAGTGGGGGCCCTGGGGTGGCTGAGGAGGACAGCTGGGATCAGTGCTCCAGTCATGCTGTCAACATGGAGACTGACACATGGGGGCCCTGAGTGTGTCCCCCCTGCCCCCCGTCCTCCATTCCTGTGAAGCCTGAGCAGCCGAGGCTGCCACCATCGCAGATTACACACTGACAAGCAATACCGCCACATGCCCTGCCTGCTCCCTTCCTGGACGCTTGCTTTAGGCTTGGGTTTGTATTCAGGGCCTCATAGCTTGCAATAGGCAGGCAATCTACCACTTAAGCCACAACCCCATCCTTGTTTGCTTTAGTTACTTTTTGGACAGGGCCTAGAGCTTTTTGCCTGGGACCACGTGCTACATTTCCGCCTCCCGCATAAACACAGTTGGGATGCCAGATAAGCTGCCACACTTGGCTTGTTGGGGTTCCATTAATTTTTACCTAAACTGGTCTGGAACCTTGATCCTCCCAATCTCCACCTCCCAAGTAGCTGGGATTATAGGGGCATATTGTCATGCTTGGCCACAACATTTTCTGTTTTTTTTGTTGGTTGTGGGTTTTGAACTCAGGGCCTAGGTACTATCCCTCTGAGCCTCTTTGTGCTCAAGGCTAATGCTCTATCACTTGAGTCACTATGACACTACTGGTTTTTGAGTGGTTTATTTATTTTATTTATTTATTTATTTTTTTATTTGGTCCAGTCGTGGGGCCTGAACTCTGGGCCTGGGTGCTGACCCTCAGCTCTTCAGCTCAAGGCTAGTGCTCTACCACTTGAGTCACAGCGCCACATCCGGCTTTTTTCTTTTTGCTTATGTGGTGCTGAGGAATTGAACCCAGGGCCTCAGGCATGCAAGGCAAGCACTCTACCACTGAGCCACCTTCCCAGCCCTTGAGTGGTTTATTAGAGGTAAGAGTCTCATGAGGACTGTTTTGCCTGGGCTGGCTTTGAACCACGATCCTCAGATCTCAGCCTCCTGAGTAGCTGGGATTATAGGCCCAGCCACCTGAACCTTTTTTAAAATTGTTCTTTTTTTTTTTTTTTTTTAAGTTGGTTATGGGGCCTGAACTCTGGGTCTAGGTGCTGTTCCTCAGCTCTTCAGCTCAAGGCTAGGGCTCTACCACTTGAGCCACAGTGCCACTTCTGGCTTTTTCTGCTTATGTGGTACTGAGGAATCGAACCCAGGGCCTCACGCATGTGAGGCAAGTGCTCTACCACCAAGCCACCTTCCCAGCTCGTATCTCTTAACATAGTACTGCTTACACATGTACACTATTAAAACACAGGTCTAGTATGATTGCAAGGTGTTTCTCAATCACTAGACCCTCTGTGCTTCTGCAGTAAGGGTCGTGCACATTACGCCAGCGTGCCATTGTGCTAGTTCTCTGTGAGCAGCTGCAGAGAGGAAAACTGGAAAGCTACTGTGACGTGGACTCCACCTACTGCCTCCTTTGGAAATAGGACTTTCAAACAGCCTCTGGTACACTCGCTTTCCTCAGAACTGCTTTTAATGCTGCTCACCAGAAAGGTTCCATGTTTGGGATGATTATGAAGCCGGCTCATGACACAGGTAGTTGAGAAAGTCTACAGACAACACAGGCTGGATATGGACAAAATGGGCTTTAGGGCTTTTCCATTACTGCTAAGTTTGAAATGAAAACTTCAGGAATAGTTTTTTTTTTTTTTTTTTTTTTAAATCATGTTTCTAAAACCATGACATCAAAAGACACAACATGAAGCTGTTTAAGTTTTTTGGTGGTATTGGGGTCAGCTCAGGGCTTTGTGCTTGCCAGGTAGGTACTCTACCATTTGAGCCATAGCTCAGTTCTTCTCTCCTTTTTGTTGTTGATGTTGATCATAGGGCTTGAAGTCAGGGCCTAGGCACTGTCCCTGAGCTCTTTTGTTCAAGGCTAGTGTTCTACCACTATAAGCCACAGCTCCACTCCTGGTTTTTGAGTGGTTAATTGAAGAGTCTCATGGACTTTCCTGCCTAGGCTGGCTTTGAACTGCAATCATCAGCTCTCAGCCTTCTGAGTAGCTAGGATTATAGGCATGAGCCGCTGGTGCCCAATTCTGCTTTATTTTTCAAGTAGTTTTGTATTTATTACAAGTTGCCTCAGACCATAATCCTCCTCCTAACACCTCGTGCATAAGCAGAGCTACAAGTGTGTGCCACCATGCTCAGCTTATTGTTGAGATGGAGTATCTCATTTTTTGTTTGGGCTGACTTCAAACTGCAATCCTGATCTCTGCCTCCCAAATAGCTGGGATTGCAGGCATGAGCCGTCCTGATAGGCTCACGAAGCAATTTACCCCCTAACCTTTGGCTGAGTTTCCTTTGTACAGAGGTCCTTACCTCATTTACAAGCTGCTTTAGGTGGCAGTGTGACCATATTTAGGTGGAGAATTCTGTTTTAATTATCTTGAAACTGTGCTGAAAGGTGATTGCTTTTTGATTAAAATCACTGAGGATGTACAAGTCTAATAGCAGTAAATTGAGAAAGTAAAGGTTAGACATGGGGATCTCACCACTGACAATTCCTTTCGCTGGGAGTTCCAGGAGCCAGTGTACTTGAGACAAACTAAAGTCAACACAACTGGGTCTTCAGAAATGCTAGGAACTACTTACAAAAAGCTGGAGGAACTTGAGGATTCTTTTGTGGGTAAGAATATAAAGTGCATTTCCACTGATAGGATCAATAACTGGCAATCTGTGGATTTTGTTTTTGATCAACGAGTATACAGCATCGAAGAGGCTGCGGGAAAATCCATTAAAGCTGTTAGGAGGCTTCCAAGGAAAATCAGCATACTCTGGACTGCCCAGCCTTCATGCACTTCTGGTGTGGACCACCCCGCCTCCACACACTTCCTGTGTTTCACACTCCATAAGAGGAGGTTAATCCAGCTGGGCGCCTGTAGCTCAGACCTATAATCCTGGCTACTCAGGAGGCTGACATTTGAGGATCACAGTTTGAAGCCAGCCAGGCAGGCAAGTCCGTGAGAGTTTTATCTCCAATTAACCAGCAAAAAGCCAGAAGTGGAGCTGTGGCTCAAGTGGGCAAAAAATGCTCGGGGACAGTGTCCAGGCCCTGAGTTCAAGCCACCTGCCCTCCCTCCTTCTCTCTCTTTTTTTTTTTTTGTGATGGCACTAGGGGGCTTGATGGGGCCTTGTGCTGTCCCTTAGCTTTTTTGCTTTAGGTTGATGCTCTACTACTTGAGCCACATCTTCACTTCCAGCTTTTTGCTGGTTAAGTGGAAGTAAGAGTCTCTTGGATTTGTTTTCCTCAAACTGGTCTGAACTATGATCCTCAAATCTCAACTCAGGAGTAGCTAGGATTTTAAGTATGGGCCACTGGCATCTTGCTTGGCTATGATTTAAAAAATTTATTCTCTGATATATATGTATGTGTGTATGTGTGTGTGTGTGTATATATATATATATAATTACTGTTGGTCCTGGGGCTTGAACTCTGGGCCTGGGCACTGTCCCCGAGCTCTTCAGCTCAAGGTGAGTAAGCACTCTACCACTTGAGCCACAGTGCCACTTCCTTGGCTGTGATTTCTAATGTCCCTTAAGTTATTAAATTTAGTATCTGAAGTTAAGGAATCTGGTCCCATCTAGACTAGATAACATGTTTGTCTTTATGTATCTACTGTAGTAATAAAATGCACAAATTACAATGAATGTTTTCAAAGGAAAAAAATGTTCTGTTTACCTTGCATCTGGAGATATATTCACTAAAGGCTTAAATGTTTCTTGTAAATATAGCTCTGTATTTATGGAAAGAAAACATACAGTTAGTAACATATTGGCTGTTTGCAGTTACTACATAAATTCAAATGCCCTTCCATTTATGGATAATTAAAAAAATTAAAAAATCCCCCCCAAAATTAAATACTCAAAACTACTGTATTAATGATAATAAGTTAACCAATGCCACCTGTTTTCAAGATGTTCTTTGAATAAAAGCTAAATATTTAAAAGATCAGTATTTCAATGGTTGTTTATAACATCAGGAAAGTATGGAGATATTTGGTGAAATAACCAGCAGCGACCGCTACATTCTGGCATGTTAAAATTACTCTGAAGAAATGAAGCATTATGAAATCGTTTAAAAAAAATTTCATAAGCTGAAAAGTATAATCAGCTACAGCCAACTTTGTTCTTTACATGTTCTTTTTTTAACCAAATCAATGCTCCAAAACCTAGTGTTTCTTGGGACTCTTTCCAACATACAGAAACTTCCCTGGTAAAGATATCAAGTGTAATCAATCTGCTCTATCAGGGTCTGTGTATGGAGAGGAGCTGAGAATAGCTAGTGTTATTATCACTCCCAAACACCATGGCCGCTGTGCAGAGGATTGATAAGAAGGCTATGTTGTGGTGTCATGTTATATAATCGCTTCCTAATTCCATGTTGACTTAATTCATTCAACTTGGCTTGGTTAAAGCCAAAATAAATCAAATGAAAAAGCCCTAATAAATCAAATGTATCCTTCAATGAAGCTCCTAAGTCTATGGAATTCAGAGCCCCTTTGCAACCTCTAACAGAGGCTCCGATTTCCTAGCTAGCTAAAAAGGTAGTGTATCCTATCCAGTCTCTTATTGGCCTCTGTGTGTGTGTGTTGTGTGGATTCTGGTACTGAACTCAGGGCTCTGCTTCTGGCTTCAAAGTGGTTAACTGGAAATAAGAGTCTCACACACTCTCTTGCCTGGGCTGGCTTTGAACTGTGATCCTCAGATCTCAACCTCTTGAGTAGCTAGTATTACAGGCATGAGCCACCAGTGCCCAGCTAAAGACTCTTGAAGTTCAAGTGTGTAACTTCCCTTCCCTTGCTTGGTTCCTCCATTTCCATCTTGGCTCTCTGAGCACTGACAAGGGGTCTTCTACCCTATCCGTCCCTACCCGTGCCTTCTCTCCTAGAGTGATCCAGATGAATACCTTCACCATCATGACTGAAAGTTGGCTGAGCTCTGGGAAAGGACGTTGTGCTTGTGAAATGTGAATTTCAATAAGACAGAGTTCTTGATGCTATTTCCTTATTATTTGGTCCAACCAATCACCAATCCAGTTCAAGCTTTACTTGCCCCATGTATGGCCGAAACCCGTAAGGAAACCATAGTTAGAACAGTGCTTACTTCCCACAGGGCAGATGTCTGAGGGTTTTTCGGTGCCCACCTCACCCACATTATTAGCCCTCCACTCCCATCCCCGGGCACTGTGAACATGCCATCACACCAGTGGTGACGTGTATATTTGATATGCTAGAATCGCAAAATGAAAGCAGAAACTAACAATGTTTTTAGCCACCATGTCATTCGGCAGAGAGAAAAGGACCTGCTGTATTAACACACCCTGTTCACACTATGTGTAACATTTCTTACATCAGAAGTGCTTACCCCTCCATGTTTCAATCTTATGCTCCTCTAATTCATAAATCTGTACCTGCAAATAAGGAAAATTCTTACTTATGGATGTTAACATATACAACAGATAAATTAACTGGGAAATAACATAAAACATCGCTTTACTATAGCATTTTTCTGTCTCTACTTAGAAAATATGAAGAAAATAAATAAATGTACCTACACGTTTTAAGAAGAAGTTGGGCCACAGAACATTTTTTTTTAAAGCAACTTTTGACTTAATAATCTACTACCAAGATTATATAGGACTTGTTTCTTTCTTTCTTTTTTTTTGCCAGCCCTGGGATTTGAACTCTAGACCTGTAAGCTGTCCCTGAGCTCCTTTTGCTCAAGGCCAGTGTTCTACACTTGAGCCACAGCGCCACTTCTGGCTTTTTCTGTGATTAACTGGAGATAAGAGTCTCGTGGACTTTCCTGCCTAGACTGGCTTTGAACTGGGATCCTCAGTTCTGAGCCTTCTGAGTTGCTAGGATTACAGACATGAGCCATCAGTGCCTGGCTAGGACTTGTTTCTTTTTATCAAAATTATCCATTTAAATCATACCTGAAAAGGACAGAGGCCAATATAAGGACACTGTTTTTTTTGCATTTGTATTATTTTAGAAATCAGACATAGCACATGACATAAGAGACCATTCACAGTCTTTAGTAAAACTTCCTTCTAAGAATATATGCTATGAAGAAATTCATTATTTCTGCATTTCTATGTTTATTTATTTAATTCTGGCCTTGGACTTTGAACTCAGGGCCTTGGCTCTGTCCCTGAGCTTTTGTACTCAAGACTTGTGTTCTACACTTGAGCCATATTTTACTTCTGGCTTTTCATGGTTAATTGGAATGCTGGTTAATAAAGAGTCTCACAGACCTTCCTGCCTGGGTTAGCTTTGAGCCATGATCCTCTGACTCAGCCTCTGAATGTCTAGGATTGAGCCACTAGAGCCCACACATTTTTTTTATTTTATGTAGGAATTAATTCTAGTCATGTGCCACATTCTGTCTTGTTGGTCAAGAAGGGACCACACAGACATGACTTGCAGCACTGAAACTGGGGCCGTCTTAGTTTGTGTAACAACACTCTGCTAGGCCTGCACGGCAGTGAGATAAAAGGATCATACACCTCACACTTGCTAAACACCACATTACCACCCTATACCAAACTGCCTGATACTCCTAAAAATAGTATAGGATCAACTTCTGTCTTTTAGGTATTCCATACTGTAGATGTTAAATAAAGTCTACATCTTGTCCTCTTCCATCTTTGCAAACAAACAAAAACACCAAGGCGATAGAATCATTATGTATGGTGTTTGATGAAGGTCTGGGTTTCTGGGCCAGGCATAATTCCAGCTTGATGGGAGGTAGAGGCAGGAGGATCGTGGTCTGAGCCTGGATCTGGCAAGAGCAAGACCCTAACTGAAAACCAAGTAAAGCAATAGGGGCTGGAGGGGTGTGGTTCAAGGGATAGAGGTTTGCCTAGTAGTGTTAGGCCCTAAATAATAATAATAAAATAATAGTAAGAAACTGGGAGCTGATGGTTCACGCCTATAATCCTAGCTACTCAGGAGGCTGAGATTTGAGGATCGCGCTTCTAAGCTAGCCTGGACAGGAAAGTCTGTGAGACTTTTTTTTTTTTGGGGGGGGGGGGTCCGGTCGTGGGGCCTGAACTCTGGGCCTGGGTGCTGTCCCTAAGCTCTTCAGCTCAAGGCTAGCGCTCTACCACTTGAGCCACAGCGCCACTTACGGCTTTTTTCTTTTTGCTTATGTGGTGCTGAGGAGTCGAATTCAGGGCCTCAGGCATGCAAGGTAAGTGCTTTACCACTGAGCCACCTTCCCAGCCCATGTGAGACTCTTATCTCCAATAAACCACCAGAAAAAAAAACAAACCAAAAAACAGAAGTGGCACTGTGGTTCAAGTGGTAGAGTGCTTGCCTTGAGATGAAGAGCTGAGGGACAGCGTCCAGGCCTAGAGTTCAAGCCCCACAACCGACCAGAAAAAAAAAAAAAGGCAGTAGTCTTCAAACTCTGCTCCCTAGTTCAGCTGAACCAGGTACAGGGGCGGTTCGGCCACCAACATCAGCCAAAGCAACCTTTTCCTAGTTGACAGGAAAAGGCAAACCTCATTTCTTCCATCTTAATTCTTATTTCTTTTAAAATAATCATTAAGCAGTTATCAATTTGCTGGTGTGACAGAACCTGGTTATTCTCACACTGCCACCTGCCCACATGAAGTCCTGTGCCCACCTCATCTGCAGAGATCCTGCTGGGCCAAGCAAGGGATGCAGGGATGTGGAGCAGGTGCTACTCTACTCTGCCAAGCCCTGAGTTGCCTGGCCGTCTCCCAGGGTAAAGCAGCAGGAGCCTGGTGACACTCACTGAATGGCTAGGGAATAAACAGGAATTCTGACAACCTGAACAGACCACCTGACCACCTGTTCTGGTTACTTTTCCTGAGAATACCTTAAGTTTCTAATATATGATGAGTTTTATTCTCAGTTGATAGGGCTAGTAGCTTTACACTGAATTTCCTTATATATAGCATAAATATAAATATGTATACACACACACACACACTATATATATATATATATATATATATATATATATATATATATAGTGTGTGTGTGTGTGTGTATATGGAACATCAACCAGCTTGACCAACATCCTGTACTTTACTCTCCCCTTCCCACATACTAGAGCATATAGCTCCAACTACTAAAATAAAATGAACATTGCCATCACTTACCATAGGTGATTTATAATATCTATGTAGTATATTTATGAAGTCTGTAATTGTTAGCATTCCTGGAACAACAAAGAATTCTATGTTGGAACAAAACTACAGATATATAAAACGGAAATTTCAAATAACAGGTGAAGATGTAATAACTGAGTAGTAAAGCTAACTAAATAGAAAGATCTTAAACACTCTTTTCATTTATTATTTAAAACTTCTAGTATACTGTCTACAACAAGCTGGGCACAAAAACCTAGCTGGAAATAAACCTGATCTTAAGGATGAGATTAATAAAGAGTATCTGCAAGATTAATGACAGAAAACATCTATAAACCCCGCTATTCAGGAGGCTGAGATCTGAGGATCATGACTCAAAGCCCACCCAGGGAGGGAGGATTTATGATTTTCTGATTTCTAATAAATCACCAAAAAGCTGGAAGTGCAGCTGTGGTTCAAGTTGCAGAATACCAGCCTTGAGCAAAAGAGCTCAGGGACAATGCCCAGGCCCTGAGTTCAAGCCCCAGGACTGGGACCAAAAAACAAAACAAAAAAATTGTGGCTATTTGTAAATAATAAAAAAATACTTTAATGCACTAAGTCCATGGGAGACAATGCTTTCAGGTGTACTCTATCAGGAAGCACCTGTATAAATGGTCGGGGGGGGGAGGGGAGGGGGGCACTTGTAGTGGTCAAGCATGATTTAGCAAAGATGGTGGACCGTAGCTATCTCCTGATGCCGGGTGTCCTGTCACAGAGGTGATGAACGATGACCAGCATGAGCACCCCGCTGCCTGGAGCCGGCATGGCCAGTGAGCCTGTCTATAGTGGCTCTGCGGATTTTGTTCCCTGGGCTGGGAGAGGCACAGGACTCCTTTGGAGTGCCAAAAAGCTGTTAAATTAAAAAACTAAAAACAACAACAACAAAACCACCCCTCCCCCCCAAATCCAATCAAAGCACAGTAGTGCTGTAAATTTCCTGGCAACTTGGCCTTGGCCAGTGTGCAAAAGCAACAATGGAGTTTAATTGATTACACTGTGGTCTGAACTCAGGGCCTGGGTGCTGTCCCTGAGCATTTCGGCTCAAGGTTAGGTCTCCACCAGTTCAGACTTTTTGGGTAGTTAACTGGAGATAACAACCCTTTCCTGCTCGGACTGGCTTTGTTCACAATCCCCATATCTCAACCTCCTGAATCGCTAAGATGACAGGTGTGAGCCACCAGTTCCTGGCTAGAATGGAGTTTAATTTGGCAACATGAAGAATCCCAAAGCAGCCCCACAAGGGCCTGTGTCCTGAGGTCTCCTCCCGCACAGACACTCCCATCCCAGTGCTCACCTACAAAACTCTGCTTTTTACTCTCCCACAGCGGTGCTGCGCGGACCCCGTTAGCTACCAAGGCAAAGAAGGCCTTTTTAACCTGGAGAGAAATCAGAGAAACAAAGCAGAGCTTTAACGCTAGGGAGTAAAAGAACTTCAAAGACTTTTCAACTAGATCTTACCAGTTATCTCCCATGATTAAGCATGACATGCTAAAAACAAGCACCTGTTTATTACACTCCTGAGATTGGAGATTACTTTTTTCAAATCAGAACAATGCAAGTAGTTTCCATTTATCTAAAGACTAAAGACTTAGGAAGTGGTGCTGTGACTCAAGTGGTAGAGTACTAGGCTTGAGCTGAAGAGCTGAGGGACAGCGCTCAGGCCCAGAGATCAAGCCCTATATTGAACAAAAAAACACAAAACACAATGAAGTAAATTCTTTATTAAAAAAGAAGACTAAAGACTTGTGTACATATACACTTTATATAATTAAAAAACCGTGTGCAGTAATTCAATGTCAGTTGAATTTCTCCAATTCATTTGAAAACATAGAAGCAAAGACTTCATCCAAAAACAGAACACAGAGGTTATATATCAAATTACAAAATGAAAATTTGAGTTGAATATGTTGAATAACAAATCAAGTGAATGTTCTCATTCACCAAGGGTGGCAAAAAAAGGTATGAAGAGCATCAGCCAGTCTCACGCTGTTAAGAGATGGATCACTTGTGTGCCCATCTCAGCAGCTAAAACTAAGCCCTCACAGGGGGAAGGCCGCCGTGCTAACTCAAACTACTACATCAGGTAACGTTTTTAACAAACACCTTGTAAGTTATCATGTTTGAAGACTTATTAATAAATAACAGCTCAATGCTAAAAATGATCCTCCAGCAAACATGAATAGGGAAAATGGTTCAATCTTATTACCAATCCAAGAAGTGCAAATTACAACAAATTGAAACAATCATTTATGGCGGCTGCTAGTTTGGCTCTTGGATGATCCCCGAAGGCCCATGTCTAGAAGGCTTCCTCCTCTGCTCATGGCTCTATTGGGTAATGGTGGGATGTTTTAGGAGGTGGGGCCTAGTGACAGGAAGTTAGGCACTGGGGCAGGTCCTGGAAAGGGCTGCTGTTGCCTGGATACACTGGACTTCTGCTGGCCCAAAGCAACAGGGCCATGAGACCATGACCTGAAGCCTTAGAAGCCTCACGTCACACTAAACCTTTCCTCCTGGGAAGCTGTTTATCTCAGGTATTCTGTCACAGAAATGGAGGGCTGACTAACTATACAATAAGCCAACATTTTAATGTTCTAACTCCTTCTTTAAGTGCTATTTTAAAACTACAGTGCTATTTAAAACTAAATATTTTTTGGACCACAGCTTGTATCAAGAATCACAAAACAGATGGGTGCCGGTGGCTCATGCCTATAATTCTAGCTACTCAGAAGGCTGAGATCTGAGGATCTTGGTTCAAAGCCAGCCCAGGCAGGAAAGTCTGTGAGACTCTTATCTCTAATAAACCACTAGAAAACCCGAAGTGGCGCTGTAGCTCAAGCAGTAGAGTGCTCGCCTTTAGCTGAAGAACTGAGGGACAGCACCCAAGCCTAGAGTTCAAGCCCTACAACCGACCAAAAAAAAAAAAAAGAATCACAAAACTACTCTTGCTGTTTTTGCTGTAGCTTTTTCTCTATTAAACTCTTTTTAGAAGGGGAAACTCCAGACCCCTCCCCTCAAAAAATATGGATTAATAAATCTTAGCCTGGAGCAAGGTTTGATTGCTTTCATCTATTTTTTTATTTTTTATGTTTTTTTTTTCTGTTGATCGTAGGGCCTGAACTGTGGGCCTGGGCGCTGTCCCTCAGCTCTTCAGCTTAAGTCTAGCGCTCTACCACTTGAGCCACAGAGCCTCCTCCAGCTTTTTCTGCTTATGTGGTGCTGAGGAATGGAACCCAGGGCCTCATGCATGCAAGGCAAGTGCTCTCCCACTGAGTCACCTTCCCAGCCCTAATCCATATTCTCTGAAAGCCCACAAGGAGCCTTGAGTTCCTCTCACTGCACAGCCATGCCCTCTCACCTGTTAGGATATTACTTTGCAATCTTTGCCAGCTCTAGGTGAGATCCAGAGGGCTGTCAGTGCTTCACCACACGGCTGCAACAAGAGCCAAATCACGAAGCCAGCTGAAGCAACAGAGGCACCTGCTGGCATGAGAATTCATGGGTTTTCGCTTATGTTACTTGAGGTCTCCATCTATTCTTTCCTTTGGCCTTGAGTCTCATCGCAGATCCATTCTCTCCAGCTTCTCCAGCATCATGAACAGCTCGACAATCTCCTGGCTAAGACCCCTAGTGGGTCAACTTGCATTTGTGCAGTAGGGCATGTTCCTATACTCTCCAAACCATCTTGAGCTTCAATTTCCTCTATCACTACTTATGGACCCTTTCCTATATGATGATCACTCTCCTTGAGAACAAAAGCAGCACAATTTCAGTGGAGGGGTTCAATTAATTCATTTTCTCTTTCCACTCCAGCAGCATCTGTCTTGAACAAGACCATTGGTTCTTCCTGTTTCTTTTTGCCTTGAAAATAGTTAAGCACCCCTTCCCTCTGTACATCTCAGCTTAAATCCCAAACTGTAAGCAAACTGTGGGCAGTGCTTTTCTAAGTTGTGCCCTCCTATATTGACCTTATACTCTCCATTCTGTATTTTCCACAAGTCCGTTTAAAAATATAATGTTCTGTCAGATGTGGTGACTCATGCCTGTAATCCTAGTTACACAGGCAGTGGAGATAGAAGCATCATGGTTTGAGGCCATTCTGGGCACAAAGTTCATGAGACCCTCATCTTAATCAATAAAAAGCTGGGCATAGTGGTATGTACCTGCCACCCAGTTACTCAGGAAGTGAAAGTATGAGCATCAAGTTCCAGGCTCACCTGGGCATAAAGGCAAAATCCTATCTCAAAAATAGCCAAAGCAAAAAGTGTTAGGGGACATGGCTCAAGTGGTAGAGTGCCAGCCTAGCAAGTATAAGACCTTGAGCTCAAGCCTCAATACCACCGGTTTAAAAAAAAATGTTGGTGAAAGGTACTTATTTGGGTACTTGCTTGTTTCCTCTTGGCATTATTTACGAATCATATCACGAGGCACAATATAAATAACTAAACTCAAATAGCACCAAACTATATATAACTATTGCTTATGAATACATGAGTGGAGTGGGGGAGAAGATACCTCAGTCTTGTAGAAGGCATTTTAGCTGAGGCCTGGAAATGCTCTGTACTCAGTGCTCCCCGCATTCTACCAGAGACCAGCCTGCAGAGAGAAAGGCGCAGAGCGGCCAGCCTCAGTGGGGGACACAGCACTACATTAGCTACATGATCCTGACTGAGTGGCGAGTCACGTGATGTCACAGCAAGCACTCACAAGAAGTGGTTTTCCTCCCCAAAATTTGTACTTTAATGGAATCCGGAGTAAAACACCAGATTCATCTCAACAGAGAACGTTCTATAACACACCTGACCAAGACTCCTCAAAACCACCACACTTCCCAAAACAAGTCCAACAGATGGTCACAGCCCATGTGAGCTCAAGGACACACAAGGACACACAAGGACCAAACGTAGCCGAGACACAGGGACGAGATGTCAGAGAAACCTAGATGGGGTCCTGAGCAGAAAAATGGCTCCAGGTAAAAACCAAGGGAACATGAGCGTCCTTTAGTTGACAACTCAGTAGCAGCTCAGTAACTGGGACAAACACACTACACTGTGGAAAAGCAAACTGGACATAGGAATTCTCTGCAAAATTAAAATTACTCTAGAATACAAAGCTTTTTTGGTTGGTCATAGGGCCTGGGCACTGTTCCTGAGCTCTTTTTGCTCAAGCCATTGTGCCACTTCTGGTTTTCTGGTGGTCAATTAAAGAGATGAAAGTCTCACAGACTAGGCTGGCTTTGAACCATGATCCTTAGATCTCAGCCTCCTGAGTAGCCAAGATTATAGGTATAAGTCAGCAGTGCCTGGCAGAAAAAAAATGTTTATTAATGATAAGCTGTTATGTATAAAGCATTGCTAAAAATTGGTATTACGACTGGGAGGAAAGGATTATTTATTTATTTATTTTTATTTATTTATTTTTGGTGCGGTTGTGGGGCCTGAACTCTGGGCCTGGGCACTGTCCCTCAGCTCTTCAGCTCAAGGTTAGCGCTCTACCACTTGAGCCACAGCGCCACTTCTGGCTTTTTTCTTTTTGCTTATGTGGTACTGAGGAATCGAACCCAGGGCCTCAGGCACGCAAGGCAAGCGTTCTACCACTGAGCCACCTTCCCAGCCCAGGAAAGGATTATTTAATTCCTAATGCCCCCACTAATCCTGAAATAGGATTTGACTATGAGATCTGACTTGCTCACAACTAAGTGTCATCGCTTAGTTTTACACCATTCCCTTCCCTCTGCACCACCAGGCTTGCTTGCAGGGGAAGGGCCAGGACATCGGTAGAGTGCATCGCCGTTGCAGTTACTAGTCTCAGTTCCAAGCCCACACCGTGGACTCCCTTTTGTGGTACTGGGAATATGTACACCAGATTTTTGCATCTTCAGCCCAATTTTAGGCTCCAAAAATAGAGGAGGTAGTAGTGAGGGCATCAAAGCAGGAGAAGGATGCCCACTGTTGGTGGGAATTCCACCCACAGGAGCCTGCCTCACCATAGCAGCAGCTGAGTCCAGACAGTCACATTTTCATTAGAGAATGAGTTTCCTTAAGCCCTAATTCCCACCCAGATACTCCAGACCCAGTCGGAGCTGCGCCCTTCTAATGCATAGCCATGGTACTGTGGTGTGGAAATGGGTTCACCGGCCCTTACTCTACAGTGTCTGACTCAGTATGTTTGGCACAGGTGCAACGTTCTGTGATTTTGAAGCTGGTAATCTGGAGAAAGCTGCCTCTCAGGTTTTTGTCTACCCTTTCCATTCACCCCCCCAAATACCTACACGTTATTCAACACCCAATTATGTTAATGTTCTAATTCAAATAACCAATGCAGCTTCTGCCTCCTGACTGGCCTCCAATGAGCAGAAAAATCAGCACAAGATGGGAAC